GACTTGGGTGTGGCCGGCCCGTCACGAAGGACTGTCACCAGCTTTGAATGTCCGCGTCCCGCAGAAGCGGGCAGTTCCCAGTGGCACCACGTGGAGGAATGGGCTGCACCATCATGGTCTGCAAGTCATCAAAATGCGTCAATATTGAATCAGCGATTCACTATCTGAACGATGACGATTATACATTCATCGATGGTGTATGGCGCCATTTTGGAGCGGTGCCAATCTTCTGACATACTAATTACGAATAAGTGATTTATTTTGTACCATCGGCGCAATCTGGCTCGGAGTGTCGACAGCGCCGCCTTTTTTGTCAACTCCATGTAACGCTTGTCAAGGCTGAGCCTAAGACGAGGAGTGGCTCCTATATCTGTCGGCACTGGCAGAGCAGAGACGACCAGAGTGCTCCATATTAGTGCTTGTGCTCGGAAAAAGATGTTATCCATATCAAGGTACAGTATCAATGTGCGAAACCTATCAAAGGGTCGTACATGGTTGATTAGGAGGAGGGGCGCGACGCAGGTCATAAATAAGGCAGCGCTCATACTTCGCGACAGGAGCGGCGATCTTGGCGACCTCGGCAACCTCGGCGATCGCCGCGATCGTCAGTACGTGGCAGAGCGCGCTCCAACGCTATTATGGACTGCTTGCTTGACAAATGAGGAAATTCAACTTGTGAGCCCTTCTTTTCTCGGCTTCTAACTGATAACTTACGACTTTCTGTACATAAATGGATCTGGAATATGTGATAAAGAGGTTCCACTTCTTGTTAGGTCGGGATGGGGCCAACTACACTTCCTGGTTGAGCTTTTTTCGTTTCTTTTGTTTTTATTGCTTCAATTTATGCAAGCGCCTCAAAAGTTCCTATCGTCTGAGCTTCTCCTACTTTCAGAACATTCATAGTTTACAAGAGTTCAAGCAATGAAGAAAAAAAAATGAAACAGAAAGAAACTCCCCTAGAAACCAAAATACTAATCATTTTGCGCAACATCAACAGGTGAAAATTTTATAACCGCATGTATAAGCTAGACGAATGAAAAAAGAAACAATAAAACCTACCCCAAAATATTGCTAATTTTGAAAAGCGTTAACCGGTATATGAGCACTTATACATAAAGAATGCTTTCTATTGTATCACTGGCTTGACTCCTCCTCTCCTATCGTGCAATATTGAACAAGATATGTTATCGCGCTACCTTTGGCAACCGACCGCTTTCAAGTGCTCTCAAAAACTCTTTCTTCTAACACCTCTCTGGCGCCAGCATGACAGCTGTCCGACGCGCCGAAATAAAAGAGCTGCCCATGGAAATGTCTACAGTCATCTGAAATCTCCACGACGCTGGCTCTCAGAGCGGGAGCTAACCGGTGCGAATGGCGAAGGTGATGTTTGGAGTACCTGTGACTCAGCTTGAGATAGCCTGTGGCCGGGATAACTACTGTATAAGAATGCTGTCTCCTCGTTAATCGCTACGCAAGGCAGCTACCGAGATCTGTAAGCGATGTCAAGCAGAGTGGCGAAATCATCGGCACAGTCGTCTATCAACGTGCGGGAGGCACACCCCGTTCAAAAAAAAGTTCGAGCCGGTTACTTCATGCAAAAGAGCTGGATGCTCTGCTCTCCTATGCACTGGTGTACCCCAGACATTGCTTTTCTGACTTGCTATGTCGCTGCCCGATATTAACCGTTGATACAGCCGAAGAAAAACCTCCACACTTGAGGCCCAAGTCAAAGTTGAGATGATGTCAACTTGCGTCGTGGCCAGCTCCATTCGTGAAACGATGCATCCACGAAGTGCTGGCGAAAACTGCCGGGATTCCGCACTGACATTGGTGTATTAATTTTGATCTTGTAACGCCTCTCTATAAAAGAGAAGCGTTCGTTTATGAAAAATGTGACAGAATTTCGCACCGCAACGCTCATATAAGCTAGACGAATGAAAAAAGAAACAATAAAACCTACCCACATACCTAAATGAAGCTCTCACGCTTTTTGCTCATTTCTATCCTATATCAAGAAAGAAAATAAAAAACAAAAGCCATTAAGTTGGGTACACCTTTCTTTGCGTTAAACCAAGCTTCACTATCTGAGAAAATTATTGAGTCGCTTCTTTCAGCCTTCGGAGCGCAAGTAATAGCGTTGGGGCGCGCTCTGCCATGTACCGACGATCGCGGCGATCGCCGAGGTCGCTGCTGCTGTCAGTAGATATGAACGCTGCCTAAGTTTAGTGGAGCGGAAGCATGCACCAGAACCCGCATGTGTGGTATACAGAACATTAGAGTGATTAAATTAACAATGCTAATAGTTTGCTTTTTCTTGAACTCGTAAGGAAGTAGGCCTAAATAATACATCTCAGTCAGGTCCGTGCGGCTGACGTTCCGAACCAAAACAAGCATGTCAAGCTTCCGAATGAGTATTCTCACATCGGCATAGGAAAATTCGAGCTTTTTAGTGGCCATCAAAAACTTATCCAAAACATCTTCTGTTTGGCAGGTCTTCAGAAAAAGCCATGACTTATTTTGGAGACAGGCGATAATGCGCTTTGCAACTGTATTTTTGGTTTTGAAGATAGGTTGCTTTTTGAAAGTCATTTAAGGAGGAGTACTCAACATAAGGCTCGTGTGCGATTTCACATTAACCCGTGTGAACCCATACAAAATAGTTCTCAAGCAGGGAAAAATTCGGATCACGTGAATTGAGGTGTCGCCCTTCCAAAGGCCGCGCACCTTGAAAATTTTTCGTCCCTGAGCTCTGCTGTTCCTGCCCTGCCAACAAGTGTGCTGCTGCGGTAGGGACAGCCGTGTGGTTAAGAGCGTAGGCTTATGTTCGCACTCTGAGTGACGAGTTCGATCCCTGCCAGGGCGCAAACCGTGCCTTGAAAATGCAAAAATGGTGAAGACACCAGCGTCTAGCCCAGGTTGACAGCTGATGGAGGAACCCGTCACAACAATTATGGCAACTAGCAAAAATATCAGTGTTGAAGCCAAGCTGGGTTCGAAGTTGAGTCCTGCGATAAGTATGCGAGGGCCACCGGGGTGGACGACCTCGGTAAAAGAAGCTACTTCGAATTGCGACCCTCAACATGGGGTCGCTCACCGGAAAGTCTCAGCTGCCGGTCTCATGAGACTCATGAAAAGCCAATTCCTATATTTTCAGAAAACGCGACGTAATGGTGCGAAGGCCGGCGACATTGGAGAAGGGCTCAAACTCTTCTATGATGGAGGAGACACCAAACGGAATGGCGTGGTCATAGCGGTGGCGAAAATCCCTCAAGAACTGCGTCTCCTCTGTGAACAGGATCTGTGACCGGATCATGGGAATGCGAATGGACACGAAGGAGCGGTACGAAGTACTGACTGTGTACGCACCACAATACGAATGCTGCAACGGAGGAGGAGTTCTAGATGACCCTGGATGAGGCCATAAGATCGGTCCCAGTAGTTGAATAACTCACCGCAGCTAATAATTTGAATGAGTAGTAGGAAGCGACAGAACGTATCTGGATACCAGTCCGGCTGACGCGCACTACTGCGCGCATGGTTAAACCCATGGTACTACGATAGCTGACAGGATTTGTCCTGAGCACTAACACTTAGCCTAATTCCATGTTTTCATGTTTCGAGGACGACCAATTTCATCATGTTTCCCCATTTTAATGAACATTTGCCAGTGCTTGGTGCCTATCATATTTCTAAAAGCACCATTCGTTGGGGATAGGACAGCATAGCGGTTTCGGTAAGGCAATTCCGATATTCAAGAATATCGAAATCACTAGTGGGCTCTTTATCATTCCTCAGTGGGCAACAAACTCCATACATCCTTTTTCGAGGGAACTCCGAGCGATTTAAGGGTGGAAGCACCGGACGCTAAAACTGAGGGATGTTTACTGATAGGATTAAGGAATTATCTTGACTACTAAGCCTTCGCCATTTGATTTTTTGGCTTACGGTTGATGTGAGCAGATTACGAGACTTCCAAAAGCCTTGATAAGGACAAATGAACTAGGTATTTATCTTCCACCTTTTAATGTTCCCTAAGCACCTCTGAATTACTTTGCTGGCAGCAGTTCCAGTGTTGCTACAACTTTCTGCTTTGAATTTTCTGGCTATCTCATCTCAGCTGTTTATCAATTCTTCACCCGCAAATAATGTTCCTCACCCTGCCACCCTTGTCTTACTTCTATAGACAATGTCTCGTTGTCGCTTGCTGGCCGGTGCTTATGAATTTGATGACCCTCGCTATTCTAAGACCTATATGGTATCTTAATCAGTTCTTAATCAGCTTCCTGCACCCACCTACTAATGTTTTCCATCCTGCTCCTATTTTATATTCCTTGCGAAAAAACACACTACCTCACTGTGACGCACGTTATGCGATTTTGAGACCTTCCCCTTTCTAAGGGCTCTTATGGTATCTTATCAGCTGTTATCACGTAACCTGCCACCCACCACTAATGTTTCTCTGCCCCCTATTCTTAATTTTCTTGGAACCAACCCCTACCATCACGTTGTGACCCAGCACGTTGATGGATTTTGTGACCTCCCTTCTAAGGCTGCTCCTTTGTGTATCTTATCAGCCTCTTATCAGTTCTTGCCCTACCACCATAAGTGTTCCTGCACGACCCCCTACATCCTTATCATGTTTTGAGCGCCTGTCATCCTGTTTGAAGGACGTTATTGAAATGTTCCGGTCAAACACACAGAATAACATACATTTCACCCACACACACAACAGACAACTTAGCGGATATATATATAGTAGGATATATATAATATATATATATATCATATTTATATATATATGTATATATATATATATATATATATATATATTATATATATATATATATTTATATATATATATATTATATTATATATTAATATATATATATATATAATATTTTATATTAGTATTATATATAGGTAATATTACCTCGACATCGCTGCTGCGATATGTATTGCATGATGCTATGATATCTGCGTCTGGTATAAGGGTGTTTCAATTAGCCATGATTCACTTCAAACTTTTTCTTGCAGAAGCCACATTTCTTAAATGTAATAAAATAACGAACTAATAATATTTACTATTGATTATCTTCATAATTTCATCAATGTGTTACAGTCTTAATACGTGCGGAAATCTAGGTTAACCTCGCTCCTTATAATGCGTCGAGCGTTAGTAAGTTTCCTCTGACCGCAGAAGTCACATGCGCTTCAGTGCAATTTAACCATGAATGGTAAGAGTGAGGTGGTATTATGGAGAAAGTTTTGATGTACGATCCTGATTTGTTGCATATGTTCTAGCTTGGCTTGTACGCCCTGTTTATTACGTCCCTCCGCATTTAGGTTTTGCCTACACGGTCGGTTTAATGTTTCTTTTGTTTCGGTTTGATTTGCCACCGGTTTGGTTTGCTTTCAGACCGAATTGATTTGCCGTATTGAGAGTTGTACGTCTTAATATTCATGTTTTTTTTGCTTGTCGATAGGCTGCACTTAGTCTATTAATAATAAATAATAAATAAATAAATAATAATAACATAAATAAATAATATATATATATATATAGTTATATATTTATATATATGATTAATATATATATATATTATATATATATATATAGTATATATATACTTTATTATAATATATATATTATTATATATATATATATATATATATAAAATTGATTTGCTTTGTCTGTTTGTTTGTGAGTTTGTACAGTTGATATGTCGGAAATTCGGTTTCGACTGAGAACGACTTTGGAGGAGGGTCCAGTCAGGTCGGGGATTAGATAGGGCATGGGACAAGAGAAATAAAAAGCACACTTAACCTAATGACAAGCCCCGCCCACAAGTGGGCGGGCACTCGCCGAAGTTTGGGGTTCCGCAGAAAAATGTTTCATAATTCGCTTCGCGGAGCAGCGTCTTAAAGATTGGGGGAAAAAGGGACTAAGTTTAGTAAGGATGTCGCCAGATAACTGATAGAGGTTACACCCTAAATGGGCGGCGCGTATTCAGGGTGGGCGGTGCTTCTCGCAAGAATTTCAGTAACCGGTTCGCGAGTGTTTGGAAGTCAGCAAAAACTCAGTTAGAATGTAAATATCCGGCGAATATGTGGGGCACTGCTCAAGTGGTGTTGAGACCGCACTACAGTGGCGCAGAGAGCTTGCCCTATTAATCGCAGGTTATTCATTTTTAAAATTTGCTGGGTCGGTTTCCAGAAACTCCAGATACCGGAAAAAAGTGGATTAGTTTAGCATGAGGGTGGCGGTGAGGTTCGCAAAGCATTGTGGGGCCAAATGGACGAGTCCCGACGGTGGGCGGGCGGACAAAATTCTCATAGAACGCTTTCCAGCAACACCAACACCGGAAAAAAGTGGATTAAGGTCAGAGGAGGTGGCCGGTCGGATTGTGGGGCACAAACATTGTAAGGCGGGGCCTGCCCACGAGTGTGGGCGCGAGTCGGGCGGAGTGTCTGTAAAATTCAGCTCAAGAGTACTTCAGACCTCGGAAAAAAGTGGGGTACAGAACAAAAGGGCGATATCTGGTTGCGTCTAGAAATATTGAATGAAGAATACGCGCCAGACGAAGCCGGCCGCCTCCTTGCTGAACGCCCAGCGCGCTCGCCGGCGCAGCTGGGCCGTATCACAAGGAGGGCGCCGGCGTTAGCCGGGAGCGACTGGTAGTAGAATAATACCTAGATATGGACACACTTGAAGTCTCACTGCAAGTGATCTTCCGGTCAGGGTACAGCATGGGAATGTGCGAAATGGCGGTATGAGTAAGACCCCCCCTCGGAGGGGGTCCAGATACGACCCCCCCCTCCTGATCTTACTGAAAACAGTATGCATGTCACCACAAATGGCTTCCTGAACTGGAATCTGGATTTCCGAAAGGCGGACTCTGCTCTTGAATTCAGGCAATAAGAGGCTGTTTCAGCCTCATGCAATATGGGCCTGAACAGCCTTTATTGCATGAGGCTGAAACACACCGGAAAAAAAGTGGAATAAGGTCAGCAGAGGGTGGCCGGTGAGGTGTGGGGCACAAACATTGTAGGCGGAGCCTGCACCGAGGTGGGCGGAGTCGACGAAGTGTCTGTAAATAGCTTCAGAGTACTTCAGACCCGGAAAAAGTGGAGTACAGAACAAAAAGGCGGGATATTAGTTGAGTCTTGGAAATCATGCGAAAGAAAAATACGCGCAGCGCAGGCGCGCTCGCCCGGCGCAGCCGGGCCGTATCACAAGGAGGGCGCCGGTTTTAGCGGCGAGCCGACTGGTAATAGAATATACCCTAGATATGACACACTTGAAGTCTCACTGCAAGTGATCTCGGTCAGGGTACAGCATGGGAATGTGCGAAAATGGCGGTATGAGTAAGAACCCCCTCGGAGGGGTCCAGATACGACCCCCTCCCCTCCTGCTCTTACTGAAACCAGATGCATGTTCACCCAAATTGGCTTCCTGAATGGAATCTGGATTCCGAAAGGCGGAATCTGGATTTTCCGAAAGGCGGACTCTGCTCTTAATTCGAGGCAAAAAGAGGCTGTTTCAGCCTCATGCAATATGAGGCTGGACAACAGCCTCGCATTACTACAAAGTTTTTGTCTGGGATTCAAAATAAAACTGCTCGTTCGATAACATGTTATGAATGCAACTTTGTAGAAGGAACAAATCGAAACAACGACTAATGGTGATCGTTAATGAGCTAAACTGGTGAAAAAAATTAGCCCCAAGATCAGCGTGTCAGGCCTCAGCATGTGCATTCAATGAATGGTGACGGGGAAATCATAAAAACATGAAGGGACACAACAAAGCGAAAGATGAAAATAAAAAAGCCAAATGAGAAAAGGATAACCAGGTGGCAGTAAATCGTTCTATACTTGATTATTATCGACTGCAAGGTCGCAATCGCTTTCGGCTGCAAAAAACGTCATTGGGAGCGGGGCAACTCGAAGGTCAACGTCCTGGAGCCTTTTACAGGCAGCTTATTTATCTTTTAGGTGCGGAGCTGAGGAATGGTGAGCACGCATGCAACGGCAAAGTTCTACTGTTGCTGTATTCTACCTAGTTGACTACGAACAACCCCGTTGGTGAAATATTCCGGATGGGTTTTGGACAGGATAGGAGTAAATGGCAAGCGGTTTTTATGCTTCACACTGAGAACTACTTATTTCGAACGCAATTTCATCAGGATTGGAATAGTCTTGGAACCGCCCTATGTTTTCTCTTTCCATAATGCTTTACCAGTTTTTCTGAAAGCCCACTAGTTCAGGAGATATTTTAGATGGGTCACAGAACGCGCTACCCTCTGACCCACCCGAACAATCGACCTCTTGTGTACCATTGTGAGGCATTACACCTTCGAAAACACCAAAACACATATTTCCCTTCGAATGAGTGAAGGAGGAGCTCGGCTATCACTGATCCATTTGGTCGAGCGTGCGCCGTGATTTACTCTCCTACGCAAAGGTGATGGAAAGGTATAAATTCTAATTTGAGGTGCTTTTTATCCTGCAAGCAGATGTTTGTTAGGGGTTGGGAAAGGATAATACGCACGAATCTGTTTGAGACGTAATATTTAGTCATCTACGTACTTACGAGTTCATGCTAATAAGTGTATATTATTATTTATTTATTATTATTTTATTTATTTATTTATTTATTCTTGTATTCTTGCTATTGTTGCTAATTGATTTTTATATTATTTTGTAGTCCTATTTACATCCGGGTCTTCTGCAGCTTTCCGTTCCTTCCATCAAACTTTGCAATGACACTTTTGTATGGTTTGATGCCCAGCGAGCCTACTTTTGCGATACTCCCCACGTCCCCCGCCAAGTACGAACCCACTGAAGTAGTTTTGGGGATTTTGCATGAAAAGAGAGCTGTTAAATGTAGCAGTTCAAAAGAAAAAAAGTAAAAGAATACACTCAGTGTAAAGAATACACTCATAATAATTTTCATTTTTTATTATCTCAACTTCCATAGCTCCACTCCCACTATCATTTGAAATGCCGACGCATTGCCCGGCTCTGAGTGACCCTTGAGATTACAACCCCCCTCCCCAGCGGCAAAGTACGACCCCCCCCCCGCACAACGATGCTGTACCCTGGCTTTCGACTCCGGAAAAAATTGGTATTCCGGAGACACACTATCTGACGAATTGTTGGTCCAGTGTAATTACATCGCTGGTGAATTGAAAGCGTCTTGTCCTCTGCCAGGTTTGATACTTGAAAACTATTATGGCAAACGTACAAAACCGCTCAATTGGTCATTATAACGCAGAGAATATCCATCCACTGATGTTCATAAAAAAAAGAGGCAATATGTGCCAAACATAGAATACTTCACATGAGAAATACAATTAGAAATTGTTTCAGAAAAAAAACTAACACTTTGATCTCTTTGAAAAATAACGACACGACCGCCTTTGTCGCCTGTGGCCAGATATTCACCGTCATGTGAAAACTCCACACACGATATGACGTCAGCTGAAAGGGGAGAGCGTAAATGCCAAAATGGTCAGATTAGAGCGTGTTCATACTTTGCAACTTAGTCGTTGTGGTAGTTCTGTGCCCGTGCTATCGTCATGTTGAGTTTTTGCCCTCCTTCCTCATTCAGCCCTACCACCTACTAAATTATCCCAACTTCCTATCACTTCCTACCACCTTTCCCCAGTTTTTTTTTGTTTCGAAAATTCCCTTTTAATCCCCGAAAAAACTACCACGAGCAGGGGAGGGGATGGATAGCGCACCTGAGACAAAACCGAATGAAAGCTGTCAACTGGAAATATTTTACTCACATGCAAATACGCCCTCCCCCTGGAGATCGCGCAACCAAGCAGCCGGGGCGCTCCACCCTAATTTCTGGATCACTGCGAAAAGCAATGGCCAAAGGTTTCTCATTCCGAGTGCAGTGGTTTCGGTCCATCAGTTAGCGGTAAAGCACCCTCAGTAGTGGTGGCGCGATCCTAGCCGCGGTATTGGCGATCACAACGACTAAAGTGTGGAGTATAAACGCTTCCTGAAGAAATTTACGCTAAACGAGTTCCCAAAAAAGGAAACTCCACTGAATAAGCAAAAACAGAATTTAAATGAAATTTAGGAACACTCACCTTCAGTATGGGTGTCATCCCCTTCTATATTCCCTTTTACCTGACTAAATCGCCATTCAATTGCTGGCTCAAGCGGCTCAGAAGTGTCCATGGAGGTACCTGCTGGCTCATCCACCTCCATGACCATAGTCTGAACGTAATCGTCAACTTCACTAACCACATCACTTGTCACGTGAAAAATGTTTTATTGGGGAAAAGCCGGAAGACTTGAGGTATTACCTCTGAACCTAATAGAACAGAAAGAATCGATAGCAGTGAAGAAAGCTACTATCAAAATGACGACCCGTGGCCTCGGCGACCCGAAAAAAGCAGGTGGTTTCCAAGGAACGAAAGCTCCTAAAACTCTGAAAAAATAGTAATAGCGCTTGCGCTATATGCCACTGAAGCATTGTTCACAACTTGACACCCGCGAATCAAGAACAGGTAAGAAGAAATAAATACGTACCCATCGGGAGAACTGTCAACGTTTTGGTGAAATGCCTTTGAATCTAGCGCCAGTGTGGAAAAGCTGATGACAAGGCATTTACCGATTTCGCTGACTCCGCCCGAGTGAAGAACTGGAAACGCTTCGATCGATATTTTAACCTGTCGCGAAGGCGTCAAAGCTCTGTCCGCCCATACTCCCATCGATACCTATGAAAACCTCCACCTTGTTTTTCACCGATTCCGCAGGGTCGCAGGCTGCGAACAATGCCTAACGAAGCGCATAGCAAAACTTTTCTATTGAAGCATACCACTAATAAGAAATATGGTAGCAAAGAAAACTGAGCAGAAACAACAGATAATGGAGCCAAGTTGGCACTTGTGATGATCTCCAAGGCACCACTTGGGGCAACTGAACTAGAAATCAATCTCAGCACGGTTGCTAAAGGGCAGTTACTGCTGATGAGCAGCCGAAAAAGAATAGAGTCATCTAGCACTTCCCAGCAACCCTCGGAACCTTTCTTTGGGTACTGTTGGACCTAATGACCAGCAGAACAAATGCTATAGTCAACGATGGGCACGGCAAATCGATCGAAAAACGACGTTGGCTCACAGTGAACGTTCTGCGAAGGCAAGAGGTTTTAACTATTCACACTTGCGTGTGTGAGATGAGAATGAAAGAAAAAAGAAGAAGGAGAGGACAAGGATGATCACGGCAAGAAAACGTATCGCGGACTCTCACGATCCGCTGCGCTCCGTGCTCTTTTAATAAGCGGAGGAGAGAGCGGATGCTCGCGCGCTGTCGGCAATCGAACGACTCTCAGCAACTCGGACTCACATACAAACCTCAATCACACTCAACCTTATCCTCTCGTCAGCCGGATAACGCAACTGCGATAATAAGGGGCTGCTGCGATCTTGCTGCTGAGTAGTAGTCCAGCCCGCGAAATAGTAAAATGTCGTGCGTTTCGAATTTGGAATGGGAAAAAGATGAAAACGCGGGGAGATCATGCTTATTTACTCCTACACGTTTTTCTTGTCGCTTAATGTTCTGAAACCATACAAGTTTTCACAATCGCACTTGCTCTTACCTCTTTATTTACATTGGATTGCCCTAATGATCCCACTCATTCCTGAATGAATTTGTAGCAATTCGAACTGCTTTTCCTTTGGAGAGAAATAATACGATGTTCGCATATCTTCGAGAATCGTTCTGGCTTGGTTATTTGCCCATGAAAATGAGCAATCTCTAGCATTCGTTTGCTTTTCTATGAAGCATACTGCCACTAGAGGAGCTAGACTATCACAAAAATCTCGGACCGAAATTTCTGCCTAGCGTGGCGCGAAGGAATTAAGCGAGCCTTTTATCTGCGGCACTGAAAATTATTTCATGTCTTCTACTACTCCATAAGTGGGGTTGAATAGCTCGACTCGCGCAGAATCACTTCTTCAGGGGCTGCATCTCTATAGGATTACGATAGTAAGGCACACTAATCGGGCCCAGGGACGTGCAGACCACAGATCACCAAGGTGACTTGCAACCACTACAGAACACAGCAAATACACTCGCTGAAGGGCCGCATCGCGGCCGCACGTATTGAAGCCCAGCTCTGGTTGATACTTCCATCCGTAGCCCGCACTTTTCTCATTTATCCAAACTGACGATGAATTAAGGAATAAAAATAGATCGGTCGAATTGAAGCATGGCTTGGTCTGCCTTCAACCTGATCCTCACACTTCCCAAGGCTAACTTCCATTTCGAAAAACGAAACCCCCTGAAAGCAGCCCAAGAAATAAGGAAGCAATGACATGGGAACCATGGCGCTTTTTGACCTTAACTTGTTTATGACTCAACGTGTACATGAAATCCTCTCTGTGGTCATACTATGCGACTGATTCAATTCTTCATCACACTGCAGCCGCTTTTCAACACACCTTCAGAGTTTGAAGGACCTGTTGAGCCTATGCCGTAATTCTTTCCCTGCTCCAGGTGTGAATATGTTAGAAGGCCCATCTTTTGCATGACGTAGCTAAAAATGAATTCTCTGGCTACTCGACTCGCACTCTCCTTTTCGCTATATCACCCATATCTCCAACCTCAGTAAAATAGTGCATTTCAATTTCAGTCATAATAGGCCTGAAATTACAGGTTTAAAAGTAAGAGAAAAAAGGCATGTCACAAAAAAAACCCGAAATCACTGCCGAAATGAACAAATGAAATGTAGGTGAGTAAATGCTTCAGATCCAATGGCTCCTTTTTTAATAAAGCAAGAAGCCATGCGTTGCTGCAACGATGTAAACAGCGAATGCCAGCGTATAATGAAGATATTCCTCTAAACCTCCTCCCACGACTCCCGCCTTCTTACAGCTGAACAAAGAAAGTCAACGTGGTTGCATTACCTTCTCTCTTTTGGATCTCGATTAATCTCTTTATGAAGCATTACTTGTAACGAACAAATAAAGTTTATGGTCACCGCTGCAGAAAAAAAAACAGGACATTGGATCGAGCAAATGCTCGAGAAGTGGATTCGAAGAGTTTTCGTCAGCTAGACAATGCTTCTTGCGAAAAATCCATCTTCCGTTTAGGGAGAAAGAGTTGTAACACAATCGCTGATATATCACTGCAGAGTTATAAACTACAAGAGCTTCCATAGAATTTCAAGAGCTCCACGAAAATGAACAGAAGTCGACACAATGGAACATCAAAACTAATCCGATTTAGGACCCAGAAATTCAGAAAGTTCTCATAGAACAATTCCATATATGGGAGTGATTGCAGTGGTAGTTCGTGCCAGAATTTTCATTGCTCTCATGCAATAGGAAATGAATTCAATCGATCAGTGGCGATTAACAGCGAACACGACGTTAATTTGCATAGGCACTATTGAGTACAAAACATAGAAAGAACAGAAGATTAGGTCTGAAATGCTCTGAAAGTAAACTTAGGTGTGGAACTCTTCTATTCTTCCTGAACTGCACTGATGACAGCTGCCTCAACAAGTTCTCACCCCTCAGAAGGTTTGATGGAGCATTTTTGGCGTAAAAATAACTCGTTTGGAGACTTCAAGACTTCTCTCGCTTCATATCAGCATGAAGTTTCTGAAGAACTTATCCGCTGAAAGCTTGCAAGATCAATTCCTGAGAAGTTCGCCGAAATGATCGCTTCGAAAGTGGAGGAGAAGCTGCAGTGCAGTCATGTCACTATCGACTAAACCGACTTGACACAATCAAGATAAATGAACTCTGGGCAGAAATATGCTGTGCCAGTGCAATCTGCAGTGCCCCCCACGCATCCCATGGTACACAAATTAAGCTTACATAATAGGTTGATCAAGAGTATCAGTAGAGGGTAACTGCACACTACCAATGCGTCCAGATACTAGTTACGTGCACTGAGTTCTGCTTTTTTTTGTGGAAAATGAAATAAATGAGCAATAGGAATGGTTGTTCTATTAAAATTTACGGCATGTTCTTGTTCCGTTGCACTGAATTTCCATCTAATTCAGAAATGCCAGAAATCAAAGAGATTTTTGGAATTTCCTTTTTTCCGGCTTTGGTAACACTGCTAGCATTCAGTATTATTCAGTAAGTGTGATCGGCAACGCTTCTACACAACTCACTTATTCGAGCAAGAGTCGCTAGAAGGTAGCAGACCATCAAACATGGCAACTCCACGATCTGCACCTGAGTAACCTGTGTCTTGCAATTCACGGTACTGTAACCAAACACTCCAGACGTGGCTCTAAGCGTTTTAGTGTCTGTGGTCCTTCAAGGAAGCACTAACGGAAAGAAGAGTAGTACGCGATGTATACCCGTCACTATGATTATGCGTGCAAAACTGGTTTATAAATGCAATCAAAAACCTGGGTAGGGCAGGAAGTAGAGGAGAAACACTACGGACATTTCAAATTTTCACAAGTAGCATGTGGCGGCTTACACACACACACTACATATACACACACACTCTGGGTTCTCTTCCCATGAAATTACTAAACAGTACAGCTTCCTGAGAGATTCGATCACCTTTACATTAAAGGCAAAGCCCGCGATCAGTCGCTATCACAGATAAGGATTAGGGGTTTGCATATAGACGACAAGGTGCTGAGTAAGCCGATAGTAATGAAAAAGCAGAAAAAACATGCCAAGTGCCCTAGATAGTCCCATTTCAGCCCTATAGTTCGTGTGTGCCTAGCGCATTCCATCTCCAACGCCACGCCCTCATCCGCGAATCTGATTCCCCAACAGAACGCTATGACCGTACATGTAACAATTTTCATGCTTTTTCGTCCGCCAGCTTCGTTTTTCACTGAAAGACAAGTCTTGGAGGCGGAGTCGCTGGAAGGGTGACGTCCAATACTGCGCAATACCGCCACTCCCTTACAATTTTTTGGAAACCGCGGAACCGGCACAAGGTTGTTTGCCGAGATCCACACTACCCTCCCGAGACCATATTTTCAACTACTATACCTGATCGCTGACCGTACCTTTAAGAACGAACAGCATCCGCGGAAAAGGTGAGATACCTATCGATCGGGAGAAGGGCGATCGCCCACACGTCGTCGGGTCACCTGTTCTCCCCATCGAAACGTATCTGACCCTTTTCGCTAACGCGCCAAATTAGAAAATGTTTCGCCAGCGCAGTTCACCCTGGGGATTCCTATTCAAAAATTTCCACAGGTTCACAAAATTCGTCAATGAGACGTC